TCTTTCAGGGTCAGGGGAATGAGACCCATCATTGTTACTGGGTTTTGGCATATTGAATAAGCCACGGGGAGTTTGCCAGACTCTTCCATGCGGGCAGGATACTCTCGGTCTCCTGCCGGATTCTCCAAGGGTAAGAATTAGATAATAAGTTATTATTATTTGTGGCCGCGTTTCTGGGAGCTGTGTTTTATAGTCTCTGGGTCTTGGCCGTTGATGGGATAACACGGCACCGGGGGCAGTTGGTGGGTGTAACACTTACCTACTGGAAGATGGGGGATCTGGGTGGAGGAGGCTGAGTCCCGATCCGAACAGGCTTGGAGATCTCAGCCCCGGATCTCGTATGCTCAGGTTCCTCTGCTGGTTCCGTCATGCATGAGGCTCATCCGAACGTGTGGAGAGTGGTCTCAGCATGGCTGTGGCTAGTTCCAGAGGTCTTCAGCTGCCGGGGCTCTGCTCAGGGCAGGAAGGGAAACTCCACCCGCCGCCCCCCCCCCAAGGGGCCCCAGTGAGGACAGCCAGGCACGGGGGCAGGAGACTCTGCCGCAAATAAAAGCAAACATGTTAATTCAATTATGTTACAGTTCTCTAGCCCTATCATGCTTTCATGCTTCTGTTCTGATGACTTGCTAAAAAAATGGCTATTCCACTTGAAGAGCCAATATGTAAAATATTTGGATTTTCACAAATATTCATTCACTATTTTTTTCTTTACAATTGTTTAAGTCTGTTACTGCTGATAACAATCACCATGGCATTTATGATTTAAAACATTCCCAACTTGTTCTCTCAGAGTTTCAGTATATCAGGAATATCTATCTCCCAATTTCTTTAGGAGCCTTATTGAAATTGTTTTTTTATAATCTCACAGTCTCATGGTCTTAATCACAGTCCTGTAATTTTCTTTACATCACTTATGTCTTTTTGAGATATGCAAACATTCCCATCTTAAACCTGACCTAGTCACCAATTCTGTCAGGCAACAGAATATGCAGATACTATATTTTAAGGAAGATTTCTTCAACTTCTAGTACCTAACAGTTTTTATCATGAAGGAAGAAATGCTGAGATCTATTTTTAAAATTGCATGCATATAGAGTCAGAGAGATAGCACAGGGATTAAGGCACTTGCCTTGCATAGGAGCCAACTCCAGTGCGATTCCCAGCATCTTGTGTGGTCCCAGCAGCATTGCTAGGAGTAAGCTCTGAACACTTCCAGGTGTGTCCTAGAAGCAGAAACAAAACAAAACCTATATACAAAGCACAGAGGAGAGCTCAATGCCTGGAATACACAGGGCCCCTGTGCTTGAGGTCTGCACCCCCCACGGTCACCTGGAAACCTCACAAAGGAATCCAGATAGCCCAGCACAGCTGGAGAGACTCTAGACCCACACAAAGTTTACTGATATGAAATTTTCTTCTTCAATGTGGTCACTTTAACTACTTGCATTCATGATACTAAATTGGAATTGCAGGCTAAGTAACTGATTGTGACCCAATCCTCTTGAGCATTTTAATATCTGAACAACCAGGGGAGTCTTGAGAACAAAAAGTTACCAGCATATCCTCACCCACACACATAGGCGGCAAAGCAATGAATGTTCCTCTTTCTCTGTTTTACCATCAGTTTGTTTTCTCTTTTCAGGCTTCTTGATTTTATACAGGGTGGGATCTTGGGGATAAACTGTGCAGAGGATCAACCCAGGGCCTTCAACATGCAAGCCATATGCCCTGCTTGAGTCACGTGATTTTCAGTTCTTTTGTTCCTTTGCATCGGTAATGCACTAACGTATTAAACCACTGGACTAAGTGACATTCACCTCTGGCAGTGATAAGACAAAGCCACTGAAGAGATCCTAAGTGTGCCCACGAGGAGTCTGATGAACAGTGGGGTGAAGCTGGCACCAAGAGGGAGTGGAACAAATGATAATGAAAACCAGGTCGTATGGGCATTACTTCAAAAACTATAAATTGAGCCTCCATATGACCCCGCAATACCAAAGCTGGGAATATATTTCCGAGGGTGCAAAAAAGCACAGTAGAAATGACATCTACACCTGTATGTTCATTGCATTACTGTTCACAATAGCCAGAATCTGGAAACAACCTGAGTGCCTGAGAACAGAGAACTGGTTAAAGAAACTTTGGTACATCTACACAATGGAATACTATGCAGCTGTTAAGAAAGATGTCACTGTCCTCCCATTGTTCATTGATTTGCTCAAGCGGGCGCAGTAATGGCTCCTTTGTGAGACTTGTTACTGTGTTTGGCATATCCAATATGTCACGGGTAGCTTGGCAGGCTTTGTCGTGCGGGCGAGATACTCTCAGTAGCTTGCCTGGCTCTCCCAGAGGGGCGGAGGAGTTGAACCCAAGTTGGCCCAGTTGGCTGCATGCAAGGCAAACACCCTACACGGTGTGCTATAACTCCAGCCCTAAGAAAGACAAAGTCATGAAATTTACTTTTAAGTGGATGGTCATGGAGAGTATCGTGCTAAGTGAAATGAGTCAGAAAGAGAGGGTCAGACATAGAAGGACTGCACTCATTTGTGGAATATAAAATAACATAAGACTGACACCCAAGGACAGTAAATGCAAGGGCCAGAAATGTTGCTCCACAGTTAGAAGCCTGTCTCATGAGCTGGGGGAGAAGGCAGCAGGGTTGGGCAATGATGGTTGGAGGGATCGCTCGGGATGGAAGATGTGTGCTGAAAGTAGATAAAGGACCAAACACGATGGCCTCTCACTATCTATTATGCAATCCATAATGCTCAAAAATAGAAAGAGTATGGGGGAGATTGTCTGTCATAGAGGCAAGAGGAAGGGTAGGATGGAAGAGGGGGAAGAATACTGGGGACATTGGTGGTGGAAAATGTGCACTGGTGGAGAGATGGTATTTGATCATTGTATGACTGAAATTCAAACATGAAAGCTTTGTAACTGCATCTCATGGTGATTCAATGAAAGGAAAGGAAAGGAAAGGAAAGGAAAGGAAAGGAAAGGAAAGAAGAAAGAAAGGAAGGAGAAAGGAAGGGTGGGAAGAAAGAAAGAAAGCAAGGAAGGAAGGAAGGAAGAAAGAAAGAAAGAAAGAAAGAAAGAAAGAAAGAAAACGCGGTTGTAACATCATGCTGAGTGAAATGAGTCAGGAAAGGGACAGATATAGAATGCCTGCATTCATTTGTGGTATATATATATACATATATATATATATATAAGCAATGTGTGTAGCACTGTCCTCCCATTACTCATCAATTGGTTTGAGTGGGTACCAGTAACGTCTCCATTGTGAAACTTGTTGCTGTTTTTGGTATAACAAATATGCCATGGGGAGTTTCAAGGCTCTGACGGACACTCGGAAAGGGGCGGAGGAATCAAACCCAGGTTAGCAAGACAAACGCCCTACCCACTGTGCTATTGCTCCAGTATATATATATGAAGACTATGGCCCAGGAAAACAGGGGCAAGTGTATCAACCACAAGTGTATGTGAGACAGTGGGTAGGTAAGAGAAGAGACCATAATAGCTGGGAATGATCACACTGGACAAGATCTGAGTGTTAAAAGTAGGTAAAGGGATACTTGAAAACCTTTCAGTATCAATATTGGGAACCACAAGGCCCAAAAGTGGCGGGTGGGAGGATAGAGGGGAGGGGGGAGGGGGGAGTGTTTCTCTCTCTCTTCCATGGAGGGTGTTGGGGTGATGGAAGGGAACCTGGGGATTCTGGTACTGGGAAATGTACATTGGTGGAGGGATGGGTGTTGGAACATTGCATGACTGAAAACTTATCATGAACAGCTTTGTCAGGGTCTCACAGTGATTCTATCAAGCAGTCAAAAAATTTAGATTCTTTTTTCTGGGGGGTGGGGGTGTCACACCCGGAGATGCACAGGGGTTACTCCTGGCTCTGCACTCAGGAATCACTCCTGGCGGTGCTCAAGGGATGCTGGGAATTGAACCTGCATCGGCTGCGTGCAAGGCAATCGCCCTACCAGCTGTGCTACTGCACCTGCCCCAAAGTAAAAAAATTTAAATACAGAAACAAAATGAAAGACAAAAAAAAAAAAAACAACCCAGGTCGTAAGAGTCCTGCTCTGTGTGAACCAAGTGTAAGGAAAAGTCCCATCTCTAGACTGATGAGCGCTAATCGCAAACAAAAACAAAAACCAAAAACAAAAGCACAGGCAAACATTCATACTGGCAAACATTTACCGGTGGGAACTCTTAATTCTGATTGGGGGACAGAGAAGCGATCAGGTCACAAACTTCCCTACCATTTCGGATTGCAAACAATTTGCCCCAAGAAAGGACCTTCCTCGGTCAGCAAGGCTTTCTGTACAATCTACAGGTCCGGCGGCTGCAAGAGCAGGAAAAGAAATACCCGGGAAAGCCTGCGGTCAGCTGCGGGGCTTGTCTCTCGGGGCTTAAGCTGCTATTTGTATTTCTGGCTCAGGGCACCGGGCAGGCACGGCCCGGACTCTCCAAAAGCCCTAGGACCTGGAGCGTATGTGGGGCGGGGGTAGTGGCTCTTCCCAGGCTCATCGGGGAGCAAGAGCCGAGAAATCGGCCGCCTAGGGAGGCGTGGAGACCCTGAGAGGGTGTCACGCCAGCCCGGCGCGTGCATGGGTGCAAGAAACGTGCTGAGCTCGGCAGCTCCCGAGGGCTGCCTGGCCGGGCCCGGACACGCGCATGCGCAAGAGCCGCGGCTCCGCAGGGCGCCGGCGCGCGGGGCCACGTGACCCTCGAGGGCGGGGGAAGAATGGAGCCCGCGCCTGCGCACTTGCGCGCCGCCGTCCCGCCGGCTCCCTGGGGCCGCGGTGGGGGGGGAGGGACCCCGCCTCCCGGGCCGCGCGTCACTTCCGACGCGCTCCCTTGCGTCTCCCCCGCGTCGTCACTTCCGGCCGGTACCGGTGTGGACGGTGCGGATCGTGGCGACCGGTTTTCCGGTTCTGCCCTCCCCCCCCTCCCCGCTTCCCCTCCGACTGCTCCTCCTTTCCCTCCCTCGCCCTCCCGCCGCGGCACTCGGCCTGCCGGGCGTCGGCTCCCCGCCCCGCCCCTCACCCCGTCCCGCCTCGGCCCCGCGCCCGTTTGGTCGGGGCCTCGCGGGAGAGACGACGACGACGACGACGCCGAGGCGCCCCCCGGGCCCCCGCGCCGCGCCGCCGCCGCCGCCGCCATGGCCATGAGGCAGACGCCGCTCACCTGCTCGGGCCACACGCGGCCCGTCGTGGACTTGGCCTTCAGCGGCATCACGCCCTACGGCTACTTCCTCATCAGCGCCTGCAAAGGTGAGGGGCCCGGCGCCCACCGTCCCCTCCCCGCCCCGCGCCGCCCCGCGCGCGCCCGCTCCGGCCCGCCCGGCCCCGCACGTCGCTGTTATTTTTCAAGGGTTCGGGGTGGGGGTGGGGGGATGGGGAGGGGAGAGGGAAAAACTAGGCCACGCTGAGTAATAACCTTTTATTCCCCCCTCCCCCCCAGCGTCTCTTAGCTTAGCTGTCTCCTTGGGATAGTCTTCGCCCACCCCCCATTTAAAAAGGAAAAAAAATAGATTTTTTTCCCTCCTTTCCTCCCCAAGTGGACGTTGAGGGTTTTTTTTTTTAAATATAAAGTCTTTGTCCCAAACGCCAATGAAAGCCGCAGTGTTTTTTTTTTTTTTTTGACGCGGGTCACATCTGCAGAGTGAGTTTTCCTGGCGCCGAGTGGCAAGGCTTGGCGCGGGGCGGGGGGGGGGGGGCCACCAGGGTCCGGGGTACTCCTACCCCCCCATCCCCCACCCCCTTTGGGGCGGGTCCCTTAGCGCCCGTCCTCGGTGACCACCCACTGACCACCCGTTGGGGGGGGGGGGGCGCGGTTGCGGGGACACACCGGAGGCCCCAAGTCGTTGTCTTGGCGGGCCCAGTGATGTGAACTTGGAACTCACGGTGGTGGGGGTGGGGGCTTTGGACTCTTCTGCAGATGGAAAACCCATGCTACGCCAGGGGGACACGGGAGACTGGATTGGAACCTTTCTGGGCCACAAGGGCGCCGTGTGGGGCGCGACGTTGAACAAGGATGCCACGAAAGCGGCCACCGCGGCCGCAGACTTCACCGCGTAAGTGTGGCCCGAGTGGGCGGGCGGGTGGGCACCGGGGGGGGGGGGGGGGGCTGTGCTCCGAAATCCTCCCCGTTCTGAGTCGGTGCTGGCCGACGAGGACACGAGAGGTCCTGGATGGGCACCAGCATCATCTCCCACCTGCTCTGCTGGGAGCGCCTTTCAAAGGTTTTTAGAAACGGGAAAAAAAAAGAGGCTTTCTCATGGGGGGGGGGCAGCCTCCTAATGCGCTCTGGGTAAGGCTTGTTGGGGACCCCCTGAGCACTTCCTTTCCGAGCACCTTCCTGCAGCCGGTGACCCGCATCTCCCTCCGCTTGAGAGAAACTGCATCCCAGCAGGCTGAAACTCGGTGGCTCCCATACTCGGATGCTCTTCATTTTCTGTGTAAAAGCGGACCTCTAATCATTCTTTTGGTTGCTTTCCTTTCCTTAATGTCCAGACGATCCTGGGTGTTGGTCCCACCAGCAGAAGGACTCCTGATAACAGGTTTTTGTCTTCCTCCTTCAGCCACTGCCCTAGTTCTGGCCCCTACCCAGTGGTCTGTAATTAGACATTGCCTCCCCCACGCCCCTCCAAAATATTTCATTCACTCTCTTGCCTCTGCTGGTTTAAGTGGTGGGTGGCCTTGGATGTAGGCAAAGTGTAGCCTACACTCAAGTATATATTTTCAATTATTCAAAAACAGAGATATCAATAATTCTGGTTTTGTTGGCCTGGGGATAGAGCCATTCGTAAGTTTTTTTTTTTTTTAGTTTGTGGGCCACACCACCAGTACCCAGGGGCGGCTGTGGGCAATGCCAGGGGGGATAAGTGGGACCATGTGCTGAGACCAGCCACGCCTGGGCCTCTTGCATGCCGAGCTGGCTTCTCCGGCCCGTTAAGCACCCAGCAGCAGGTTTATGTTTTAAAAGCACCCTTGAGTTTCAGATGATCCCGATGTGTGCAGTCAGTGGCCAGAAGGCAATGTTAGTCCTTGGCCCTTTGGAATTTGGCTGCGTCCTAGGCCATCAGCCCTGTGCTTTCCCAGACAGAACTGTCCACTGCCGGAGTCACCTGTCCTCCTGAGATTTAGAGCTTGTATGTGTTACTGACTTGATTTGTACTCATCCACTTGGTTCTTCTGGTTTCTCCTCCACATTTTATATGATCTTGGTATCAGTGGTTTCTAATTCTCTTTCTGACTTAGAAGACATTAACTGTTGAAATTAATGCAGGCACTGTCAAGACGGCACACACACCTAGACTTTGTTAAACTGAGGAAAACCTGGAGAGAGAAAATGGTCTGATGTGGGGGTGGGGGGTGGATGTCATGCCTATGACTATGGAGCTTACCCTAGCTCTGCTCAGGGTATCATATGGGGGTGCTGAAGATTGAACACGGGTCAGCCCTGTGCAAGGAAAGTGCCCTACCCGCTGTACTATATCTTGGGCTCCTGGTTGTTGTTGTTATTATTCACACTAAAAGGCATTTGAAAATGTGTTGCTCCCTTAAGTATGTCAAACATAGATTGTTGTCAAAAAGTGAAAGCAGGTTGATTGTGGTAGTGAATACATGGATGCATTTGTTAAAGTTACTCCACTGGGCAAATTTTATATTTTATTTTTATTTTTTAAAAAATAAGTGAAAATTTTAAAGAGCTGGAACAGAGAGATGTAATATACTCAGATGAGTCTGAACTTGTGATGATAGGAGATCGTCAAGACTTAAGAATGCGAATGCCGTGAGGATCTTCATAGCCTTTATAAGGCTTTGAGCTTCTGTGCTTTTATCTCGGACAGATAAAAATGAAGAACTGTTTGGCTTGATATAAATCCTTTAGTACTGAGGCCAGATTGCTCAGCAGACTTCTTGTTTTAGGACGCCCAGACTTGATCCCACTGCCTTCTGTCCAGAGCCAACAATCCCCACCCCAGGCACAGGACCTGGGCTGTCTCAGGCACAGCTCAGGCACTGCTAGGTGTGGCCCCAAACAAAACCAAAAATAATCCTGTACTGTCAGCTGGTCAAGCATTGCTTTAGATGTTAGCATGCACGCTTGTGTTTCTGAGATGCTTTAGTGATTAATTGTGGGAGGTGAAAAATCAGCAACAGAGGTGATTCTCCGAGACTTCCTGAGTGCTGGAAGTTGAAGGTGCTCGTCGCTTTTGTGCTTGCACTGTTTCTGTTACAGTGTTCACTGACTGACATGTCCTTGTGGCTGGAGGCAGGCCCTTCCATCTTAGGTTTGTTGTTTACTGGCTAAAGTCAAGGATAAAGGTGAACTAAAGGTTCTTCTCAGACATGTTAGGCAGTCATGTTTGGCTTTTTATCCCATCCAGAGTTTGCGGGTGTTTAGAGGGGAACAATAAGCAACTGTCATTCATTCCCAGTGGTTAGGCGTCCCAGGGAGATCCTTGGCTGTGTTCAGGGAACTGTGCGGTGCTGGGGCTGGAACTCCCGGCCTCTGGATGAGGCCTGCGCTCCAGCCCATTGTGCCTTTTTTTCCCAACTGCTAAGTCGTTAATGATACCTGGACCCAGTTATAATGGTGAAAGTCACTAGGTGTTGGGGCAAGTGTGCCACACCTCCCATCGTTGTTCAGGGACCAGAAGGTGCTGGGGGTTCAACCTAGCTGGGCCTGCTAAGCAAGTGTATGGTTCAACCCAGTTAAGTGGTATTTAAGTTAGAAATCTAACAAGATAGCATATTCTGCAAACTTTAGCATTGACAGAAACAAGCTTTGAAATTCCAGTTCTGAAATGGTGCAGTTTCATTAACTTAGTTTGTTATCTAGCCCTGAGCATGCTAATTCCATGAGAAAAATGCTGCTGGTTGGTGGCTTTTCAGCCTGGCTATACCTGTGCCGAGCTTGTTGGGAAGAATACGGCCTCTAAAATCCCAAAGCCACTGTTTGTCCGGTTGACCACTCTCTAATGGCAACCTCTAGGAAAAGAAAAGAAGGACTTTGGCTACAAGTCAGCTGTGTGATAATTATTTTGAAATGGAGAGAGGAATAGAATGTGAAAAGGTGGGCTATGTTCACTCCTTGACAGAATCCTGAGAAAGAGTAGTCGGACTTTTCCTGCCTGAAGAAAAGTGTCTTTGGGTCATGTACAGCTCTCTCTAATCAATAGTAGGGCACGTGAGGGCAAGCCCTGGTAAGGCTCAGTGTGTAGCATTTCATATTTTATTGTTTGTTTTCAAATTGTAGTAAGCATAAATTCCGGGACTAGATTGTACTTGAATTCTGACTCCATTATTTAGTTCTGTGATGTTGGAAATGTTTGTCTCAAGTTTCCATCATGCATAAGAATGAGAAGAGTAATAGTGATTATGATAGGTTGATTGTGATTGTAAGTGTGAATATGTTTCCAATACTTAGAACTTTGTCAGTTAAAATCTAATTGCCAGCTAAGTAAGGGTAACGGTACCCTATGTAAGGTGACAGTAGGACAAAATCAAACCTGTTACTTTAGGGGGGAAGTTGGTGCCAGGGACTGAGCTGGTGCTCCTGCATGCAAAGAGTGTGCTTGATCTTTTTGAGCCATCTTCCAGGCCCTCGGCTTGTTCTTTGGGACTTGTTTTGGGTCAACTCCCAGTGGTGCTCCGGGACTCTTGGGTGCTAGCGATCAAACCTGGGCCTCCTGCATATAAAGCCTGCATTTAGCCTTGCACTCTATTTGGCCTAATTTTGGAACTTGCATGACTAAAGCTGTGAAGCCTTTAGATTTCATGTAAGGAAATTTGAGTATTAGGTATTAAGAAGGAATATCTTCGGTTTTCTTTACCTCAGTTAGTTTAGACTTGATTTGATTGTTAGTATTCGATGATGTTAGATGATGTTAGTGTTCCGTGTAGACTGGCAGTTCATGAGTTCATGTGGTCGCGCCTTGTGGCTTTCCAGTTTGATCATGGGTGCTTCCAGTTTCCTAGATGTATTCTCAATTTGTGTCTTTCCAGTCTAGCGGAATCTGATACATAGCAAGGAGCCAACAAGTAGCAACTTGAACCCCTCTTCTGTTGTCTGAAGTGTTTGTTGTGTGTGTTAACTCCTCTTAGTGACTTGTGGGGGCTTGCTGTTACTCTTTGTGGCCCAGCTCAAGTGTCCCTAGTCAGGTACCCAGCTGACCTGATGTTTGATTGTATTGGTGTAAGCACTTTGTAGGACACGTCCCCTCTGCGTTTTAATGTTTCATTTGTGAAAATTAATGATGATTCTATTGTCATGAAAATCTCTTCAGTAAAGCAGTTCTGTGGGTGAGTCTTGAATATTGCGTTTTTGTCCAGCGGGTAGGGTGCTTGCCTGCATGAGGCAGACTTGGGTTCAATCCCTGGGAGCCCATATGGTCCTCTGAGCACTGGGTGTTGCCCAAAAAATCTTGGCAACTCGATCAGGCAGTGAGTCTGTTCCTGAAATAGCGTCCTCTTAATTCATTCTGTTAGCATTATTTCCTGTGGTCCTCTAAGCACCCCCCCCCCCCTTTTCCTCTCTGATTCAGGATCATCAAAAGAAGGTGCTTAATCTAGAACCATCGAGAAGAGACCTCGACTGGGTTGCAGAGAGTGCTTGGGTACATCTGGTGCTGCAAAGTACAGGGGCCCTTTTTTATTTTCCTTTTTTTGGTAAAAGACAGTAGAAAGATCTGTTTTTCTCTGCATAAGCTTTTTATTATTATTATTAGTTTATAATGTAGTTCACAGTATTTGATTCCATTTATTATTCAAACACCACTCCCATCACCAGTACACCTTCCTCACCCACCACATTTCGGGTATTTCCATCCTGAACCCCAACCCCTGCCCCACAGCAGAACCAAAATAATGTATTTTGTATTGTTATGAAAAACCACCTGAAAATTTCCTTAGAGGAAAGAGTGTGAAGAGAGTTGTATTTCACCCATGGGCCACAAAGCCTTTCCATAAGAGATCACAAACATGTTGTTAAAGGTTGAGCTTTGTGTGCACATATATGTGTGTGTGTGTGTGTGTGTGTGTGTGTGTGTGTATGTATATGCATATATATATGTCATTCCCTCTAAGATTGGTTGCCTCCTACTTTGAACACCATCTATTGTGGTGCACTGCTCTTAGAGTATGGGTGGAGTGTGGTATGCAGTGTCCAAGAATAGTTGCACGCGTGTGTGAGCCTTGGCGGGAGCATTGGAGAGCGGCCGTGAGCAAGGTGGCAGATGAGTTCTGGAGGTTTTCAGCTGCTGGGGCTGGGTCCCTTGGGGTGGGGTGGTTCTCATCCGACCCCCTCCAAGGCACCCTGAATGAAACAGTCTTGCGCGGCATGGTTATGGCAAGTGTCCTGTTATGCTCCCTTCCAGGAGAGAAGGACATGTGACTCTCGCATAAGGTTCTTAGTCAAAGGTGGTCTTGCTTTGAACAACATCTTTAGACAAATTTCTGCCTTAAAATAGCTAATCGGAGGTTGGAACCATAGTACAGATAGTAGGTGTTGGCTGTGCACACAGCCGGCCTAGGTTTCATGTCCCACACTCATAGGGTCTCCTGAGCCCACCAGGAGTGGTCCCTGGGCGGCACTGGGTGTAGTCCTCCCCCTCCCCCAACCAGTCATTTTGTTAATTCTTTAAAGAAGTTCCACGGCCTCTCTTGCGGGTCTGTTTTCAGAGTAAGAGTTTGCAGTAGTTCAGAGAATAAATGCCATGGCCTTAGAAGCTGACCATGACCAGTGCATCACGGATAGGATTGGAACTCTGCACCCAGCTACTTAGTACCAGCAGCTTCTTACTCAGAGATGAGAAGATGCCAGATAGTTTTTAGAACGCTAAGGCCTTTTGAGGACACTTAACTGGGAATTAATCGAAATAGGCCAATGGCAGTAGAAGTGATGAGAGTATGATCTGTAGGGTGTGCCCGCCTCAGCTTCTGTAGATTTGTTTTTGTGTTTGGGCCATACCTGACCGTGCTCAGCAGGGATCACTCCTGGCAGCGCTGGGGGAGCCAGCCATGTGAGGTGCCTGAGAGGACAGCTGCAGAGCGTGATGCAGAGTGCTCACTCCAGTCCCCTCCTCCCTGGTGAATGGCCGTGATCTGAGCAGAACCTAGATGTTTCAGGAAGATTAAAGTAAAAGGCCCTCCCGTTGATCATCGATTTGCTCGAGCGGGCCCAGTAACGTCTCCATTGGAGACTTTGTTGTTACTGTGTCTGGCATATCGAATACTCTCGGTAGCTTTCCAGGCTCTGGATTGGATATACTTGACACTAGTCACTTCAGAGGACACAAGCAGGTTCTTTGAGACCTGATACCGTGTGAATGATTAGGAAAGAAATTTCCAGTCTCACCACCTGCAATGCAGCTGTGTGGAATCCTCAATTTATGAACTCATCAGCACTGATTTTCCTGTGATTAAGAGTAAACATGAAGAAAATGAAGGCCAAAAAAAAGTCATCAGAGTAAACTTGAGTTCTGTGGAGGAACCGGCAGAGCTAGTTGATGGATTTAATGATGAGATGGCGCTTGAGTGAGTTCTGAGGCTGAGTGGAACCAGATAGCGGAGATTGAAAAGCACAAACTAAAGCTTTCCTGTTTTCCATGTACCTGAGAGAAGAGTAGGGAAAGAGTTGAAAAGTTTAAACTAAAATTTGCTTTAAAAGTCTGTTGCAATCTAGCTAGAAGGGTTAACTACAAGCAAAATCAAGGAAAGAATGAGTTGGTATCTGCATAAACTCATAGTTATCTAATTGTCAGCATTACCTTTTTTTTATAACTTTTTACTAATACTCATTTTGTTTATCAAACATAGACTGAACAGGGAAATTAGAGATAATGAAGATTTTGGATGCATTTGCATGGCGTTTCTGTACCATTCACACACTTAGTGGTAACTAGGTATCAGCATTGCTGGCGTACTTCTAACTTCTAATTCTGCTTTTCACTTTCAGGAAAGTGTGGGATGCTGTTACTGGAGACGAGGTGATAACTCTTGCTCATAAACACATCGTCAAGTCTGTGGATTTCACACAGGTATGAAAACAGAGGAAGTCCAAATGATATTTCCCAACTATTGCATAAGGGGGGGGGTAAATTTGAGATGTTTGGAATCAAAAAGTGCTTTTTAAGAGAGATACGGGTGGAATGGTGCTGGGACGAGTTTGACTAGGGAAGCTTGAAAGATTTTCCTTGGCAACCAGGAGAAAGGTATGCTCAGAAGTAGCTTCTCAGAAATAATGGGGTGGAGTCATCTTTCTAAAGTCTACACTAGGTATTGAAGAGGCTTCAAGGACCTGTAACTGTTGAGGTGCTTAAATGTTTGTAACATTTTACCCTTTGTTTCCAGGATAGTAACTACTTGCTAACTGGGGGACAGGATAAACTGTTACGCATCTATGACTTGAACAAACCTGAAGCTGGTGAGTGTTGTTTTTATAGAGAATTTGGGATTATCCTTTTCTTTGAAAGAAATAGCTTTTTTGGTTTTGCTTAGTACTCGGAATCTGGAAAAAGAAATACAGTCATGAGGAAAAATTAAGCATCCACCACCTAGTCTTAATCACTGTTAAGACCGTTAGATTTTGATTCATATTCTTCCAGTTTTTTTTTTCTCATACAGATCTATCAGCTTATGTTTAGAAAAAACTTGCAATCGAATATGTAATGTATTCATGGCCACAAAATAGATGTATGTACATATCATCCATACATCACTATGCCTCAAGAGTTTTTAGAAAGCCATAGCTATATTGAAAATTAAGCTGATATTCCCCAGGTATCTTCCTTTTCTGAAAATATTTTTGGTTTGGGGCCATACCCAGCAGTGCTTGGGGGCTACTTCTAGCCCTGTTCTTGGGGGAAGGGGTGTTAATTCTTTACCACTGAAGTATTTTTAAGGTGAGGAAACACTGTATTTCCAGATTATTCTTTCTGGTTACATAGGAGTGCTGTCTCTTTCTTCTCTTTGGTGACCTTTGGCCAGAACACAGCACAGTATTCTAACCTTACGTAACCTGTGTCCGTTTCGCTGCCAGCAAGGTAGTTCAGAGATTTGGTGGCAGTTACTATTCCTTTACCTGCTTTTTCCAAAGCTGCTCTCCTGTTGCTGTGGCAGTAGCAATAATAGCAGTTAATTGATGGTTTTCTGTTTTTGTCCTATACTATATGTATGTATAGCACCTATACCATGTGGTGTTATACATACCTATATGTGTATATAGATACATACCTATTTCCTTATTTGGACCTTCTAATTGCTGAGGTATAGTAACGGTTGCCACCTCTGTTTTTTTTCCTTCATTTTTGCGTTTTTGGGTCACACCCAGCGATGCTCAGGGGTTACTCCTGGCTTTGCACTCAGGAATCACTTCTGGTGGTGCTCGGGGGGCTATGTGGGATGCTGGGAATTGAACCCGGGTCGGCCGCATGCAAGGCAAACACCCTACCCGCTGTGCTATTGCTCCAGCCCCACCACCTCTTTTTTACATGAGAGGAAAGGCAGGCTTCGGAAGGTTAACTTGATTTGCCCAAAGTCCAAATAGTGTATTGATTGACATTATCTCCAGCATTTGCTGTTGGTAGAAAGAACAGTGAGTGGTTGTTGCGTTTTGTGTCTTAAATCTTTTGAAGAGAAAGTCTCCGAAGCCTGGTTCCCATCCCCGCTTTGTACACGTTGCTTTCTCTATAGAAATATTCTGAAGAATATTTCTATACAGAGAAATATTCTGCCCTACTTTTTATTGCCTTCCTCCCTTTCAGCCCCTTCCTCTCCTTGGTAAAAGGTTGTGAGGCTGCTCGACTTAGCTTGCAATGCCTTGTCACTGGATCTGTTTTGTTTTTTAATTGTGCCTTATTGGTTATTTCATCGTACTACAGTACTGCTTTCAAAGGCAGAAAATTCTCTTAGTGGTGGTGGTGTATTCATTCTCCACTGCTTTAGAGATGAGGGTTTCTCAACGTTTCCCAACTTGGGGCTCTTTGTCCCCTGCTCCGTGGCATACCAAGTTTATGTTTGTTGCTGCTAAGTTTATACTGTGGCCCTTTTGGAGTATTCCATGGGGGAGCTTCCAGGGGACCATTTGGGCCCTGATTGAGAAACACTGATAGAGATTATAATTCTTCATTTCCTTGTTATACAGATACGATTTTTAATTCCAATATAGAAAAAAAATGTATAATCTAGGCAAACATTTGAACTTGACTGGCTTTTGAAAAGTTGCAGTCTAATAGAAATCAATTTTTTTTCTTTTACATATGTAAAAGTTTTTATGTTGCCCTTTTTTTTAAAAAAAATGAGTATTAACAAGTGTATTTAATAAGTTGTTTTGTCTTCAGAACCTAGGGAAATCAGTGGTCATACCTCTGGTATTAAAAAGGCTCTCTGGTGCAGTGACGATAAACAGATACTTTCAGCTGATGATAAAACTGTTCGGTGAGTAATTTTTCTTTGATTAATTTAGAGTTTGAGAAACCTTTTGTCTCTGTGCTTTTGTTTTAAATTGGCTCTATTAGAATTTTGTGGAAGAGTTATCCCTGAATATTAGAACTTTTGTTATACACAGGTCACATTGATCTGCTGCTGTCCCTTGACTTGTGCACAATTCAGACTTGCAGGAAAGTGCTGACTCAGCCTAAGTGGGTGCTCTCGCCTGGGTCTCTTCTGTCTGTGGTGTTGGGGATTGAGTGCTGGTCCCAGATACTCACCATCAGCGTCACATGGGTCAACTCCTTAAAGCATAGCTGAAAATAAGCAGTGTCATGTTAGGATGGTTTCAGTGACATTATTAAGAAATTGTATTAAAGTTTTAAGGTTGTCCTCATCAGACAAGCTACCAAATACTGGAATGTTTTAGGAAGCCAGACCTTTTCTTACCGAGGTCTATAGTTTATGACTTGGAATGGATGTTTGACTTTGAGTGTGATTGTTCTGCAGGTGGGGTTAGAATTTTTCACCTTGTTTTTTTTTATCAAGTAAATACCCACGTATTTTTCTCTTGCAGCCTTTGGGATCATGCCACGATGACTGAAGTGAAATCTCTAAATTTTAATATGTCTGTTAGCAGTATGGAATATATTCCTGAAGGAGAGATCTTGGTAATAACTTATGGAAGATCTATTGCTTTTCATAGTGCAGTAAGGTATGTTTATCGCCCCCACCAAAAGAAATCTTTTTTTCTTTCTGGCAAATAAGGAAAATTTACTGTGCTTAAACTTGGAGGGCATGTCAGAAAGAGATTTCAAAGCAAATGTAGACCTGTACTGTGTGGGGAGAAATGCTTCTGTACCTGTGTCTTTTGATATTTAGATTTGTAGATACTTTAAAGGGGTTTATTTGTAGGTATTCAGATAATGTATTGGTAAAATTCAAAAACTTCTAAGCTTTTATTCAAAGTATCACCAGACTAGTGCTCTAATAATAATTCTGTGTTTGCTGTGTTCTTGATCTTACTGATTTTTGTCTTAAAATCTTAGAGAAATATATTTTCCATTTTCAGATATCCTGACAAAATGAATTTCTTAAAACACACTTTCTGTGACTACAAATGATAGTAAACACTTGTTGACAAATTAGAAAGTAAAATTTTTTAAAATGTCCTCAATCCTGCAACCATAAATACCAGAATATAGCTATAGCTTTGTTTCTTTTTCAGTTTTATTTTGCGAGGTGCTGCCAGCTGAGGGCCTCACGCATGCTCAGAGTGAACTCTAGTATTGAACTGCATTCCTGGCTCCATTAATAGCCGTATTTTCTTCTCTGTTATGCAGTTGGCATTTGTATGATCATTTTAATTTTTTTATTACTTTAGGAATAATAAAGTGTTAGCTTATTTGTTGATAGACCAGGAAGAACACTAGAATGATGAGGTGTCTGTGAAGTTCAGAATCTGATCCCTGTCCCCTTCCTCAGTCACTGGGGTGACCCTCATGGCTCTAGGCATCAGATGACCAACCTGAGCACTGAACCACAAGGCCATGTTCCATGAGGACTGAGCACTGCAAAGAGTCTTCCCCGCCTCTTAGAACGCTTGGTTTGGGGCCACATCCAGCAGTACTCTGGAGCTCTCCCTGGTGTGGTGCTTGGGGAGTACGTGCTGTACTAGGAACCACACAAACCCAGGCCTCCAGCATGCAACGAGTGCTCTCCGATTTTTTGTGCTTTCTCCCAGACACACACCACATACATTCCACACTCCACATCCCACACCCTCCCCCCCACCCCCCGAGCTGGGGAGGTAGTACAGTGGTCAGGATGCATGCCTAGCATGTGCTAAAGCCCACTTCGATTCCCACCAGTGTGTTTCCAGGCATTACTGAGTGCAGCTCTGGAGTTGCCCAGCACTGCTAGGGTCGCTCAGGTAGCTTTGCATCCTCGGTTCCTTGCATTGAGGCCAAGAATTACCAGTGGGACCCCTTGGTCCCCTGAGCACAGCTAGAGAACATGCCTCCTCCAACCCCCAAATTATACTCAGGACAGTAGTCCTAAACTCTCTAAAGGGCTCATGACACTAAGATTGAATGGCAGAAGGAAAGAGGGGACAGGAATGAGGAGGAGCAGTTCAGAAAGTGAAATGAGTGCATGCGTGTGGTGAATGGCTAGTACTAGGTTGTGCGTTCTTTAGCCCTGCCGCAGACTGCTGCCTCAGACCCCATCTTCTTGATAGAGTCTGCCAGCCTACTGAACATGACCTGAGTAAGCGGGTATTCTCAGTTTGCCTGCATAGGCCTGGCATGTGATGGTGTGAGTAGGATTTAACACAGGAGCGAACAAGCCTGCGCTGATATTTTGTATTGAGGCCTTGCAGGATTTCTAGGTTGATCTGGGGCTAAGTTCTTTGAGCCTCAGGTGATGCTGTTGTGCGCTGATTTCTTGTTTTGTTTTCATTTTGTAACCGTGGGACTGTTGCTGCTCAAGGCCTTTCCCTGGCCCAGTGTTTGGGGGTTTCTCTGGGTGGTGCTCGGGAGATCATACTCAAACCTAGGCCACCTGTACGCAAAGCATGCACAGGAACCTTGTCTCCCGGTTCCTTGAATTCTTGTTTCGGCTTTTGACTGTACCCAGCGGTACTCAGGACTTAATTCTTACTATGCTCAGGCATCACTCGTGGCAGTGCCAGATTTAACTTATTGCAGAACTAAACTCCTAAGAAGTGAGGCTGATTATCAAATGATCCTCCGTGTGAAACTTCTGTTTGTAAAAATTTGTGCCTTTGAAAAATCAAACAATATGAAAGTTATTTTTTGTTTGTTTTGGGGTCACACCCAGTGGTGCTCAGGACTTACTCCTGGCTCTGTGCTCAAGGATCACTCCTGGTGGGTTCAGGGGGACCGTATGAGATGCCAGGGATCAAATCCGGGTTGGCTGGTGTGCAAAGCCAGCACCCTGCCTACTGTGCTATTGCTCCAGCCCCAAAAGTTAAATTTTGGAAGCAGAAATGTCAATATGCTGGCACTGTGGCTTTATCATCCAGCATAACCGTTTTGAGGAAGGCAGTGCTGCTCAGTGTCACAAGCCCTTTATTGAAGCGTCCCAATATTCCCAAGGATGAGTTCCAGTTGGGCATTATAGCCTTCCTGGCTTCTTGGCTCTTTTGCTAATTAGACTTGGTGATGGGTTTTGGGTTTGTGGGTGTTTCTGTGTATGGGTTTCTTGGTTTTATTTATTTACGCATATCTATGGCTAATTGAATTTAGCCATGAATTTCTTGACTTTCAGAATTTAAAACAGTTTAAAGATTATTATATTTGTTACTCAAAATTTAAAATATTTAAATTTTTCTCCAGTTTGGACCCAATTAAATCTTTTGAAGCTCCTGCAACTATCAATTCTGCATCACTTCATCCTGAGAAAGAATTTCTTGTTGCAGGTGGTGAAGATTTTAAACTTTATAAGTATGATTATAATAGTGGAGAAGAATTAGGTGAGTTATCTTCCTTTCCCTTATCTTTATCAAATGTCAGATCTCAGAATTTGTGTTTCAACATTTCTATGTGTACATCTTGAAGTCATGTCTTCCAGCTCACTAAAGCTTACTGCTTCCACATAAAAATATAAAGGATTTTCATACTCTAAGTCTAGAAATTTGGCGTGAAGGACCTTATTTTACTCTATTTCTTCGCCAATGTTTCCCAAAGTGAGTGCTGTGCCCTCCACCCCCATACGTATACACATCCCTTCCCAGTGGTGGTGCTGGATCTCCTCAGGCATGGTATTAGCCTTGGGTTTGACTTAGGGGACTTTCTGTTTTTTTAAAAAAGGTAGATTTCTCAAAAGATGTAAGAATTGTCTCTCAGGGAGCTAGGCTATGAGTTCAGGGTATAAAAGTAATTAGGATTCAAACATCTGCATCCTCTGAAATTTCGTTTACTCCCTCATCTTTACTGGACCTTGAGAGGGGTAATGTTAGAAGTTGTGGGCATGATTGGCCACTGTCTGGCGAGGATTATTCCCATTAGATAGAGTTCTATACATTTGCCCTTACGAATTTGGCATTTAGCACTGATAGTTTTTTCTTTGGGCTATCAGTGTTTGCCCTCTAACTTGTAAGTTGTAGTTCGTCGTGAGTAATCAGTGATGTGTTGGCCCTCATCCCCTTGTGCAGAATCCTACAAAGGGCACTTTGGTCCTATCCACTGTGTGCGATTCAGTCCTGACGGAGAACTCTATGCCAGTGGTTCTGAAGATGGAACGCTGAGACTCTGGCAGACCGTTGTGGGAAAGACATATGGGCTGTGGAAGTGCGTGCTTCCTGGTAAGAATTCCTATGAAGACGGCCAAACAGATTCATGGTTTTTGTTGATTTTAAATTATATGTCCACCTTTAGCCGCTGTTTCTCATGCTTTTTCTGACTGAGACCTACCAACTTTCTTTCTGTGCTCCCCTTGCTTTCAATTCCTGCTACCTCTTGGACCTCTAGTGTCATGCTTTGGCCCCCTTGTGTGGAATTTTTTTCCCTTTGGGCCCCTTAGAATTACACAAGGGGCCACAGATCATATGACCTCTGGTTGAGAAATACTGATTCAAGTAAAGAGAAACTTGTGATTATAAATTGCAGTGCTCCTTGTCATGCTTATGCTTTTTTATATAATTTATTTTTTTCCCTAATTTTTTCATTAGATAGTGAATGGAATGGGTCTAGCTCAAAATTTGCTAGAGGCCTGTCTAAAAATTTTAAAGTAATTTGAATAGCTGTGGCTTACCCTTCTTTAATGCTGGAATTTACTTATGCTATTGTTCACTTTTGTTTCCATAGAAGAAGATAGCGGTGAGCTGGCCAAGCCAAAGATCAGTTTTCCGGAGACAGCAGAAGAGGAGCTAGGTAAATACTAGTGAAGTCATGGGGTTCAAAATTGAGATGGTGTGGGCTTAGCAGAGGAATTCCTCTCTTGACAAAAGTTTATTAATGATGAATATGCTTGACTAATGGAAAATTTAAGAACAGCATGTTTATATAACATTTAAATAACTGCATAGTAGTAGATATGAAGATGTAGCATGAACTTGGTAGAGTTTCTGGTGTGTGTGTGTGTGTGTGTGTGTGTGTGTGTGTGTGTGTGTGTGTGTGTGTGTGTGTGTTTTGCCTTTCATTCCCGGACTCAGACCCAGGGCCTCACATACCTAAGAGATGTGCTCTGCACCTGAGCCACTTTCCCATGATGCTGCTTGTCTCCGAACTTAGTCTGGTTTAGGTAGCAGTTGTTAAAATATGTAGCTTTGGTCATAATTCTTAGCATCAGTTAACTTTATACATATAAAGTATTCTGTCACAAATCTGGAGAGACATTCTTGTATGGTCTGATAAATAATTTGAAGTTGGAATACTAAAGAAGGGATCCCCAAAAATCTGCTGAAGACATAACTTTGGTGGTTTTTCAGTAGCCATAGTCATTGAAAAGCTATCTCAGATCCTGGACAGATAGTACAGTGGGCAGAGCACTTGCTTACACACTCACTGCCAACACAGATCTGGTTCCCAATACCCCGTGTGGTCCCTGGACCCCACCAGGAGTGATCCCTGGTACAGTACAGAGCCAGGAGTCAGCTATGGGTACTGATGTGACCCCTCACCCACCAGTAAAAAGAGAGAAGAAAGATTGGAAGAAAGGCTCCTTGGAGATGGGGTTTTCTGATTTAGAAGACTTGGAGAGCGGGGAAGAAGTCCTCTGGCTCTTCTTCCTGCTTTTGCAGGGCAGGAGTATAGTCCCAAAGGCTTTTCACTTGCTGTCTCATTCCCTCTCAGCGTGCTTAGAAGACAGGTTTCGTTGTGTATATGGGCATGGGGAGGTGTATATCATCCAATTTGGGGGGAGGTCGGTTTAGCAGAAAGGTCAATTTGCTCTTTTCCTTTAATGAAGGTGATTCACATGACTTTCACTTACATTGTAGAGGAAATCACTTCAGAGAATTCAGATTCCGTCTATAGCTCAACTCCTGAAGTGAAGGCCTGAGCGCCAGGCATGTGCCCCAGAGAGCATCCAACTTACGGACTAAAACAAGCAAGCAGAGAAAAGCATCCGCCTTACAGCGTGCATTCACGGAAGGCAACCCTGAGCAGCAACTACTGAGGAATATGGAGTGGCTCCAGAGCTGGGACTAACTGGGCGTTTCCTGTATGGGTGACCCCAAGAGCACGCCATGAAGACACGTGCAGGTTTTGCTCTTGAACTCCGGCGGCCTGTTGTCTTTTTAATGAATATGTGCAAGCCAACATCCCATTTCTCTTATATAATTAGATTTCTCGTAGCTGTTTATGTTATTATGAGGAAGAAAAATATATTGGCCTATTTTTCTGAATTTTCCCTTAAAGCAGAAAGCCTTTTTTTTCCTCTTTTTTTTTTTGCGTTGGTTGTAAAGAAGGAGATGTGATATGATAAAGTAATTGGTTTGATTTCTCTTTCATTGTACACTGCTTCTGAACATCTAATTGTTTTTAGTTACCTAAATAAAAAGCCTCTAAAACAAAATAATGTTTGTTTCTTGGGAAAAGTTGATAAATTTGAATTTTATAAATGGAAATAACAAGAAAGATTTTCTACATCATGACATAGCAAAAGACAACTTGACTAACGATGAATCTGTTGTAAACGTTGTTTCCTAAATTGGAAATTTTATTACTGAATCAGGGACAGAATTTTTGAAATGTGCTTGTCCTTTACTAGGATTGCAGCCATCTTCCTGCTGGATTGGACAGAAATGGTTAACTTGTGTTTTTAAAACCCTTCATGGTAACTGTTTAAATGGTACATCCTAGTAGGAAGGAAAACATAAAGCAGCTGAAAACTACCACAAAAATCTTACCACCAAAAATCGATTAAAATTAAATGAAAACTAATGCACACACCCCTCTGAGTCTGTGTGCAGATAGGAAAGATTTTATGAATGTGGATAATTGTAGACCTCTAATGTTTGTTACTTTGTCCTTTAAGTTAGGGTGGTATTCAGGCCTTCTTATCAATCTGTTAATAAAATGAATCAACTAAGCTTGAACTTGTATTTTTTAACATATGGAGGGGATATTAATTTGGAAAGAATTTCTACCATTATGTAGTCTCTGCCAAATTGCATTGTCTTTAATTCAACTGTTGAATGATTTCTAATAACTGCAAAGCAAAGTAAGTTTTTTTGTGGACTTTTGGAAAGGGTGAGCCAAAGTGAACCCTGAGCAAAGCTGGTGAAGCAGATCGTGGCCTTAAAGTTGTTAGCGAGAACTCTTAAGCTACAGGCAGGGCAGCATTCTTTCCAGAGGAGAAAGGTAGCCAACTTCTGTCTCAATGTCCCGTCTTCTGTCCTGACTTCTGTCTGATAACCCTGTTTGCCTTCCCAGGACACTTGCAGTCACATTGGATCCCTCTGAATGCTCTCCCAAGTTCAAATTCCTTAATTAGAAACAAAAACAGTACCAGCCACCAGCTGTGCCTGGACCACTGCTTGCCAGTACTTGGGCATGTGGGGCAGGTGGAAGGGGGTACTGGGTGCAGAAATTGAGCCCAGGTCTTGCACATATTAGTCCTGTGTTCTGCCACATGAATTACCTCCCTGACCCAAAGGTAGTTTAGTTTAATGGTAGCTGCACAGTCTTTACCATATGAGGTACCTTGTACATGTTTAGGAATTACTAGAACATAGATGACTTGGGCAGGGGGCAGTGTAGAATTGGGAGCATCGTTTGCCTCCTGCACTTATTACGAGAGGAATCCTAGAAGTCTTGGTTAATCTATCTGTTTAGGTATCAGTCCTGGTGTTGCTCAGGGGACTGAGGTGATGGGGCCTGCCACGTGCAAAGCTTGCCCATTAGTACTGTCTCTCGGGCCCCAAGTACTCAAGGTTTATTCCTGACTCCATGCTCAAGAATCACACCTGGCAGTGCTCGGGATCATATGCATTGCAAAGGATCCATCTGGGAAGGACTACGTGCATGGCAAGCACCTTAACCCCTGGACTACCTTTCTGGTCCACTTTTTAAAAATTTTGTTAAAAGGGACTGGAGTGGTAGTACAGCAGGTAGGGCCTTTACCTTGCATGTAGTTAACCCTGCCAGGTTCGATCCCCAGCATCCCATATAGTCTGTAGCAACGCCAGGATTACTTCCTGAGTAGAAAGTCAGGAGTAACCCCTGAGCATCGGCAAGTGTGGCCCAAAAACAAAACGCTAATTTATAAAGTTATTAATGGTTGAATTTCAGGCATATAATATTTCCATATCATTCTCACCACCAGTGTCAGCTTCCCACACTCCATCCCCTGCATGTCATTTGGACAGGCATATTACAAAGTTGATGTTATCAGTGTTGCGTCTGCTTTGGGTATGTGACTATACCCCTCCCACATCATCGGTTTCAGTTATAAAGCCCCCGTTGCTTCCCTTTGTCATCTTCCTTCCCCCTTCACTTCTTTCTCTTTCCCTTCCCTAACTCAGGTCAAGGGTGACCTAGGCATCCCCATCTACTACATTTCCTTGTCCAGTTACTCCATGAACCATGGGTAGGTGAGATCATCTTGTGTTTATCTTTCTTCTGGCTTCACTCAACATATCAGCACATAGTTGAGGGCCAGAGAGAGCCTAAAGAGCTGCTTTCTATGCAACTCACCCAGTTTTTTGACCCTTGGCACCCCTGAGCACCTTATTTTGGCCGAAACACCGAAACAAAATCCAAAAGGCATAGCTTAGTGTTCCTCCTTTAATAAGTGTCTTCCTATGTGAAACATCCAAACCTGTTGGGCTTGTTGCTCTTCTAGTAACTGGTGCTGCCTGTTGGGACTTTCTCCAGTCAGAAGACCCAGAAGCCCTTGATCCTGTTCTCTGACCTTCCCAGTTCAGCCCCCATGACAGCTCTGGGGTCCTCATCTGCTCCTTGCTGTGTTCATTGCTACTGCCGGGCTGCCTGTTCTCACAAAGAACATTTCAGTGCCTCTCTGCCTTGTTCCTGCTCGCTCGCTGCACCCCGTCCATCCACCCTCATGGCAGGGAAGGTGATTGAGGGTGTGAAGAGGTCAGTGACTGCCTTCCCTCCACAGCGGCTTCCAGTTGGACCCACTTGTCCTCTGTCCCCTTTCCCCTGCCTGCTGTGACTTCCTTTTTCCTGGAACTGCTTTAGCCACAGTTGCTTCATCTCTAGCTCCAGACCTTTCCACCCGACTTGTTTCTGCTACTTGGTCCACCTTTCCCCCACTATTTTTGCAGTGCTGGGGTTCAAAGCTAGGACCTCACTTTTGGAAAGCAAGTGCTCATCACTGAGCTCCGTTTCCCACCCACCTGCTCCCCTCCCACCTGTCTACACAACTGACCTCTTACTATGCCCACAGCCATCCTTATCTTGGGACTCAAGTCTCATCATCCGTGTTCTTCTCTTTACTGTTTTGCCTTATCCCCACTCCAGAATGATTGAGAATGTTTTTCACCGTGACCCATCCTACTTTTGCCTAGAAGGTAGTTTGCGTGGCAGTGCTGGTGCTGACTAGCTGAAACTGGGCCCTAAATTAGTACCAGCCTTACAGGCTCCTATGATTGTTTTCAGTACCCGCTTGGGAATTCCTCCTCCCCATTGAAGTCAGCTGATCAGCCCCTACTCAAAGCCCGGGTCAGCAGCTGACCAGAGTGCCCCAGCCGAATCCCTGAAGGAATGCAGCCAGTGCGGAGTCTCTTCACCTCCACCCACTCTCTGCCAAGTCACTTCTATTTTTAAGGCCCACCACATCCTGATTCCCCACAGTTCACCCTAACTTCATGAATCACTCAGTTATTCTGTCATCCCGAGTTCTCACCCAAGAAACTAGGGTTGAGTATGGCCGATTCTTTGAGAAAAATTTTTATAGTAGTTGACAAGATTCATCATGTTTCTAATTATTATTATTTATGTTTAGCAGGCAGACTGTTTATTAGAAAGCAACAGTAAAGTAGACTGGGCCAGGTAGAGAGACCTGAGTCCCCAGGATCTATTTCTGGGTCTTTTCATTATGGCCTGAAGCAGGGGAGTGTTGAGGGGAATGTTGGTGACGTGGACACTTTCTTTAATGGCTACAAAATAGTGCAGATATGCCATAATTTATATACTCAGTGCAATTTTTGTAGTGGTTCAACTTGAATGGAATGATTAATTTAGCTGCCTTTCTTTCTTTCTTTGAGACTAAGGTAGAAGGAACTAAATGTAATGTTTAAGAAAGGAGTAACAAGGGAGAATTAAAGACCATGAGTAGTTCACATTTTACATCTGGAGGATTAATATTTTGTTATTTTTATTATTTTAAAAAATTTTTATTGTTTGGGGGACCACACAAGGCAGTGTTTAGGGATCATGCATGGTGGTACTTAGGGGAAACCATATATGGTGCCAGGAATTGAACTGAGGTTGACTCATGGGTAAGCCTTCACCCTTACCCTATCTTTTCAGCCTCTTTTATTTTGTTGTTACTGGGCTTCACCTATCTCTGTGCTCAGGGCTTACTCCTGATCACGCCTGGTAGTGCTCAGGAACCATATGTGGTATTGGGGATTGAACTGGGTCAGCAAGGTAAATTTTTTTTTTAAAGAAAGGTTTATTTATTTATTTATTTTAGTTTTTGGGTCACACCTGGTGATGCACAGGGGCTACTCCTGGCTCATGCACTCAGGAATTACTCTTGGTGGTGCTCAGGGGACCATATGGGATGCTGGGAATCGAACCTGGGTCGGCTACGTGTAAGGCAAACGCCCTACCCGCTATGCTATTGCTCCAGCCCCAGCAAGGCAAATGTCTTAACCCCTGTGCTATCTCTTTGGCCCCAAGATTAATATTTTTAAATATTGGGTTATCATATAAGTCATGTGCATGTTGGTCTCTAGGATGATTCTGGAGCACTGATTTGCTTATCTATAGGAATGTATAGTTGTTCCTGTTATAATGACTGTCATGTGACTTCAGAGTTCTTGAGCGAATGAAGCAGCTAACAAATTTACCTTTGGACACAAGATCGAAGTATGACAGCAATGAACAGTGATAAAGTTTCCATCAGTTTGATCACATATGATGAGATAATGGAACTTTGGTCATGTGGACATCAATGGATTTTATTATAAATATAAAAATAATATTTATAAGGTGCCCTACATTAAGTGTTCCGCTTCGTGTTTATTGTTAATTATCTTCATAGCTGTGTGAGATAGTCAATGCCATTCTCCTTCCCCAAACCGCTCCCCCTCCCCCCACACACAGTCTTTTGTTCTGGGACCACACTCAACTGTGTCAAGGGCTTACTCCTGGCTCTGAGCTCAGGGACCATTCCTGGCAGTACTGGGGGCACCATATATGATGTGGTATTGAACCCGGGTCAGTCACACCTAATTCCTAATCCTCTCTCCAGCCCCACCTCCCCTTGTATATGAGGCACGAGAGAGTTCAGTGATCGGTAGCTTGTCTAAGGAGTTTGGCTTCAGAGGAGGAATAGTGGGTCTGTTTTCCTTTCTCCTCTTCCCTTTGTTGCTGGTGTTGTGATGATATGTCCAAGCAGTTTTGAGGGCCACAAGGACCATGTTTGATGTATATGAGGGGAGAGGTTTTGTGTGTGTGTGTGTGTGTGTGTGTGTGTGTGTGTGTTCAATGCACATAATCCATCCTTTTGTGTTATCTCTCTGGCCTCCAGTTTTAGTCTCTTTTGTAAAATAAGGCAATATTTTGCACACACAAAATTTAGGGGGAAATTGGGTCTAATAGATGGTCATATCAATTGATGTAAAGGGTTTTAAGCCATAATTGATAATATTGTGGGGCTGGAGAGAGCTCCAAGGTCCAGAGTGAATGCTATGTCGGGGTTCATTCTCAGACACTGCATGTTTCCCCAGCACTGCCAGGAATAACCCCCCACCCACCCACTCCCCCAAACCCAGGTGGGAGTAGCCCCTGAGCACTGCAAAGTGGGCCCCCAAAGCAAACAAAAAACCAAACTAGTATTACATTAGTGTTGGTCCTTAGTATCTAGTATTACATAGTCTATCAGTGAATTTCTAAG